AAGCCTTGATTCCTTTTAGATTAGATTATCTAATAACACAGACAAATATTTCTTAACCTAGTATTTCAAGTTATAGAGAGCAATTCTTGAAAAAATATTGTTTTCCTGTAGGTGGGTATAAAAATCTGTCTGCATATCTATACTTTAAGACTATCTTCTTGTTTTCCATTCCCACTCCTGTCTCTCCTGACAGCAGTAACACAAAAATGACAAAAACCCATCTCTTTAAAATATCTCAGTGAAGAACTGAAATGCATATACACCTCTACCAGTAAACATGAAGATTCTACACCAAGTAGTTCTCTATCATCTGAAACCCACTATAGCTCCATCAGAACAGGGTTACACAAAAAAAAAAGACCAAATATTCCATGTGAACATTCATCACTCATTTTAAAATACTGGTTTTAACATTATTATGCTCAGCCCTCCAGAGTGAGAGTTGCACAAGTGTGCTTTGATTATTTTTATGGTTCATAAATCAGTCACTGACCAATTTCCAGTTGTAGTTTGTTAGAGATAATTGCAGAAGGAACAGCTTGACTTTTAGAACCAATTAGGCAATCACAATACGCAGATCCACTTCCTTTATTTTTTAAAATCAATCACCCGAGATAATTTTATAGCAAAGTGAAAACAAGCATTTGAGAAAAAGCTGATGAATGCTAGGGAGGCCTATCTTAACTAGGCAGATGATACTCATGGTGAATAAGGTACAAGGAAGTGCATGTTGAGGACTAACAGGAGCGACTGAAGCGCTTTTGAGCTTGAAATTGGAATTAGTTGAGGAGGAAGAAGCAGGGTATCAGAGGAAAGACAGCATTATTTCATACTAGGTATTTAAAAGCTGTTACTGTCAAGTGAAATAAAAATCTCAGAAGAGAATGGAACTAAAACCACCTATTTGCTTTCTGCCTGGAAAACTTCAGTTTTGACCATCAGACCTAAAAGCAGGAGAAAAGCACGTTCGGACAGTCTGAGCAGAGGTCCAAAATAACTTCAGCAGTCCTTTGCTTTATGAATACTCTGTTTTAGAGAGGAAAGAGGTATGCAATAAAATGACGCAGAACATAACAGAATGGAGACAGAAAGTTAAATAAGTTCCTGTTGCTAACTCATAGCTAGCTATAAAGAAGTGAAAGATTACACAAAGATCAGTTAGAAAGCATTGCATCAGTTTTTACACAATCCATAAGAAAACTGCTATCAGAAGTTATCTAAGAATTTCAGATTCAGGAGTGTTTCTATGGATAAAGAAAACATTTACGATCACATCAACAGTGATTAAGAAAAGCATATATAGATTGTTTTAAAACATTAACCAACCCATTATCTGTTTCAGGGTTAAAGCCCAACTTTCTTAACCTGACTCTAAAAGGGAGGAATTCAGAAATAGCACATTCTTTAGTGCTCTCACTAGTACACAGGTTGCTGTTAACAGTGGTCCATGGAAACGTGTTCAGTGGCAGAAAGAAGCGGAAAAAAGATAATGCTCAACACTTAGTAACTTAAAGAGAATTCAATCATGGATGAGATGACACTGCGTGCAACAAAATGCTAGAAAAGAAAACTGAGTTAGCCTTTTTCCCCCTAATGAATTCTCTACACTGTTAAAACACGTTTTATCAGATAACTTTTAAAAAATAAAATCTCCTCAATACTTTTTATTTCAGAAAGTTAAACAGCGTAATTTAAATGCCTCTTCAAGTTTCTACCCAGTTGATGTTAGAGTGTTAAGAAGGTCAAAGTAGTTTGGTTTGAAGGCTTTTTCATGTGAGCTCTGCTGCCACCACAAGGCTACAGAAGATGAGACAATCTAAAACTTCTAAAACTTAAGCTTTCTAAAAGGTTAAGCACACAACATGAATGCATGCAGTAGCATACAGCAGGGCTGGTTCGTGCATGTGGCTTTTGAGGTTTTATGTTATCTATTTGAACAGTTTTACTAAGGCACTCAGAATGGCTGTATCAGTAACGCCTGCCAATTTTTGTCACAGAAACACAATGCATCCCCATTCTCAAATTAAAAATTTTAGTAGTGTTTTAGAGTGCTTTATTGGACAAATTTGGGTAATATTCCTCCAGAAAAGCAAGCTGCCTTCATATTATTCATGAGTGGAATATGAAATACTGACTTTCAAGTCCATCACTGGCCAAGACTGGATACTAGCCGTAGCGCTACCATGCAAATTCACACAATACTCCCCTTGTGGAGTTGAGCAGGTTCTCAGTCCCAAGTGTTGGACACAAAGGACTAAGGAAGGCTGGATTAGTGGGTACAGGTGGAACGTTAAGAGATAAAAAGTAACCTGGGTCACATCTCACAGCTCTTGTTTGCTCCCAGTCACTCACTGTATCACACAATTCTGTGGTCTATAGTTAACACGTACGTACTACCATTATTAATGCACACTGACAAATAACTTGACTGTGCAGCCATAATGTCAATAAACCAGCACAATTCCATACTTTCCACCTCAGAAGATGCGCAGCCTGGAATCTAAGCACTTGGGACACTAATCAAGCTTCAAAATACCTAGGAAAGCGTGCACGAAGCTTCACAGGTGACAGTCAGCCAAAGATCTGAAAAAGCACCTGATGGCATGGCCATCAGGAACCCTGGCTCTGACCAAGACCCACCTTCCCCATGTTTTAGTCCTTTCAAAGAGCACGCTTGGAATGGATGAAGAATATCTTCAACAAAGAGACTCGCTGCAGATGCTAGTTACCATCTAATTACAATCTGCATCCCAAGCAAAAACGCTGTTTGGGGAATGGTACTTGTGGCTTACCGACATCCCCAATGGCTATTTATGCTCAATCTTTTTTCAAGCTCCTTTTGTACTTGAGGCACAGCGTAATAACGGCATTTCTACAGAGGCACAACTTTGAAGTTAGGACCAACATGTGGTACTTATTTTTTGTGATGACACTTCAAATCACATGAAGTGACAGCATGACAAATGAGAGAACACTTACTGGAACTGCACATTCATCTAAAATGGAGACTCTGAAGACAAAAAGTACAGAATGAAAACTTTGTAATTGGGGGGGGGCGGGGTGTAAAGCTATAAAGTGTGAGCTTACAACTGTGGTGCTTCAATGCCCATGGGGAAAAAACCCAAAATCCAAGGGGATGCTGGATTTTATTTTATTTTTTTTTAAGTTAAGCTACTATCTCATTTTCTCTTGCCGAAGCTTTCATTTCAACACTCAGAAAGTTCCTGCTTTTTTTTGTTTGGGTTTGTGGAGGTTTTTTTTCTTATAACTCATTGAAGGTAGAAACACCCTAAAATGCTTCATAATATTCAGTAATTTGAGTCTCCTGGTAGTTGAGATTCTGGGATATTTAATCTATGAAATTAATCACATGCAATTAGCAAACTGATGCAAGAATAAAATGAAAAAGAAGATTAATATGCATCTTCCATCATCACAGAGGACAAGAAGTTATGTACACATAATGTCAACCATTATTCGCACCCAGAGTCTTAGCATGCAGCAGCATCTTAAATCTCTGTAAGAAAACTACCACAAACAAAGCTAGGAGAGCAGATAAAAATATATGTACATTCTTGTCCAGTTGCAGTACTCGTGTACTAATTTTCTAATGGCTGAAGCTTAGAACTTGTAGTCCAAAAAACCTTCTCTGGTAATGAAATACAGGGACAGGAAGAGAACCAGTTAACTTAATTACCCAGTAAGTCTCTTGATTTAACCTAATATGAAAACAGAAACACAAGGGCAAAAACAAATTATACTAGCTGATGGAAAAAAAGAATAGGGAAAGCGTGTTTAAGAAAACCCACATAACACACACACTGATTCTGCTTCACTTGCCAGAAAGTCAGATCTTCATGAGGAGATTTTACAGATGAAGAAAGTCACAGGTCTCATTCATAGCTCCAAAAAGGAAATAGAGTCTCAGATAAAACTCATTTTCAACTTGATTTTTGAAAAGCAAACACCTGACATGCGTACCCTTTATCTACCTAACATTCTAATTAGCTAACATTGTTTAGGAACCAATTGTGGCAGTGCTCCTGGTAAAAGCAAACGGGAGATTACTGCACTCCTCTGCAAGACTCTTCTGGCAGCAAGGTCACATAAGAGTAAATGGACAACCGACTGCTTCCCATAGCAAGACAAGAGCAGTCACTGTGCTGAAGCGCATGTCCTTTGTGACAGTCTCCCTAGAGTCATAGTTCCTGTATGAAATACTCCTGAATTTGTTAACGCTACCCAGCTGTGGTGGGACCATCCTCTGAAGTCATTCTGCAATCCCAGGGGCAATTTTACAGGGGCCAGATTTCATTTACATTTTTAGTGACTCGGGTAAAATGACGTTTGAGGCAAAGTTAAAGGGCAGAGGCACTTAGTTCTCTACTGGAGTGACTAAAACAGTCAGGAGTGCCCTACCATATGCCATATCCAAGTGCAGATGCGCTGCTCCCCACTTTGAACATTGGGGATGAAACAGAATTCAAGACAGTGCAGTAACTACACCTTGATTCTATTCCACATTGTGTTTCTCCCAAATGCAACTTGCCTTTCACTTTTCTAAGTTCCTCTACTCAGAGGAACCTGGGGAGGGGGAAGACACACTGTTATCAGGAGTGTCAATAAAATGGAAATTACAAGGGTTATGGATTACTGCTAGTCCTGCTCACATCATGCTCTTGTATTTGTTGCCTGGGTTAAAAAGCAGCAGACCACCTTTACAGAGAGCATGGTTTCTCAGGGTCACCTGCAGTCATACCATTCTAAACCACCTTTTATCAGTGAAAGCAGTACTTGTGCAGCTATGCTAAAACAAGCAAACATTTCTATAATCAGTCAGCACTGTACTCGTCGTTTTAGTATTGCCACCAACACTTGCTGAAAGACAAAAAACTCAATTGTTTCTGGAGCAAACTGCATTATCTGTCTCTTTCCAAGTGCATAAAAGTATTTTAAAAGATATATCAAGTTTGATGTATGTATCTAAAAGGAAATAGTACCTTTAATGTTCTAGTTGGAGCCCAGCCAGTGCCATCAATTGAATGTTCTCTCAATAAACTGGAAAAAAGACACACATATTATACAGTGCAACTTATAGTTAAACAACCTTAGTCAGAAATCTACTCAGAAAACATTAAGAACTTTGGAAATAATTGCAACATAAGAATTACCTCTTGCACTACATCTACATACTGGGATTTTAAAGCATAAGAATTGGTATGTCTTCCTAGAATTACACTCAATATAGTGTCATCATAGATTTCCCAATCTGAGCTCAACCTTTGTCAAAAAACCTGAATTATTTTCATCAAGCAAAATAGTGTGACAGAAATCCTTGTGACACAGTCTCAACATGGAACCTTTGTTTTCCCCTGAGCAGACACACACATGCTCCAATTTAGAATGTGTTCATCTCTGGTGAAGAGGCAGACTTGTAGAATGACCCATCTCACCAAATCTGGCACAACTCAATCCAAAAAAGGGTATTTTCAGTGGGATATCTACTTAGCAAGAAAGAGGATTATCATCCTCTCTTCTGTGAGAGGATTTTAGCTTCTTAGAGGTAAGGATAGGAAAGTGAATAGTTTTGGTCTCTGCTCAGGAAGGTTCTGCAACAGCCGTAACATGAGCAGATGCATCTCAAGCCTCTGGGGACATGGCACAGGACAGTCTAGCGGCAGGGTCTTACGGTCCTTTTCCAGCAGGTGAGCTATATTGCACGCAGAACATTTTAAGGCTTTACAGGCAAACTCAACATCATACATGCCCAACTGGAAATAATGATGAAGACTACCCTGGGCAAGAGAGATTGATTACAGGAAGAAAAAAGTTCCTTATAAAAGTATAACATGTACTCTTGAATTTTCATATAAACATATATTAGTATTAATATAAATAATTAAGATACAGACTTTCCTATAGACACACATACTGTATAAGAATTTTACGTGACCTGTAGGTTGAAATCATTGAGGCCTATTCGGTTGGTTAGGTATTCCTGGACCTTTCAGGTCAAAACATGAGCAGTTGTGAGAAGTAAAAATACTGGAGACCAGAGCATAACTGAGAAATGAGATGAAGTCTGCTCACATTTGTGAAAGCAAAGGTAATAATCTGAATGAGTTGTGGAAAACCCCTTGAAGCATCATTTCACAATCCCGTCTTCCTCTGTTTAGAAGCAATCCAAAACTGAAAAATCATATGGCAAAGTAGCATAGCACAAAAATTCATCACCACCAGCAGCTTCTACTAATGAAATGATAGGGTTAAAGTGAAATAGTCTTGAACTATTAGGTTTTACCAACTTTCGGGCTGATATGTATTAAGTCATTTTTAAAGTACATGACTGGACCATATAGGCTATCCATACAGTTCTTTATTGAATGTGATGAGTTTTTAATCCACTATGACTAGCATTACTCCTTGTTCTCTGTAGAGAGGCTAGGAACAGGATGATTGTACTGGACAAGACTGTTCCATCTTAGCCATGCTGCTAATCTCATTTCTATGCCTTTAAAAAGATAAAATATGCCATTACCACTAGCACAGCTCAAAACTAATTTCAAGAACATTAAAAATAGCACCTTGTCGCTGCGATTATTGTTCATATTACAAAAGTAAAAGCAAGAATGCTGCTGAACAGACAAGAGCCAGGACTTTCAGGTTTTATGCAAATAACTGACTTTCTAGCTTGCTTTGTCTGCTCCTCATAGAATTTTGCTACAGTACTCCCCTTTACTTCTTCATATAGCTCACTGTGAACCTAAGAGTGAGGAATAAGTTAACACACACACAAAAAAAGCCTAAAAATACCCAATGCTAGAGCTCAGAGTGCCCAAACATATCAGCTAAGCCTTGTTAATACCTTTCCAGCTTTCCAAAGCCTCAGAGCTCTCTCTCAGCATATCTCCAGCTGTGGACATCAGCCAGGACTGATGAAGAGAGAAGACACTCATACCCCTCAGAGCTCTGGCAGAAAAGCAATGAAGATAAGTGTACCTTTGCCTCATATTTCTCATTTGCTGATATAATTTGTTTTTAGAGCACCCTCCTCTTTCTTTCTACAGATTGGGAATGACCATTAGGGCTCTTACCAAAACCTTTTCCCAGCACAGGGTGCCTAGAGAAACCACATCTCATGCTCTCCAGGCGGATGACCTAGAAATAACTGCCAGACAGCTGGGAGGTCTGAATGGTGATCTGCTCTCAGAGCATCACACACACAAACAGCAAAACAAACACCCAAATGAGTAGAAATACACAAAATACACCATGAACTAGTTTACTGGATGAACAAGCATCTGCATATAGCTTCTGTTCAAAGACCTGTCATCCACGGGTCCTGCTGCCATAGAGGAGCTGGGTTACCAGGAAGTTCTCAAATGGCACAAGCAGAAGAGTTTTGCTTGCCCACTCAATGCTTCAAGAGGCTGCCTTTGCCAAGCTGCCAGATACACCAAAGCCACCTGTTCTATCAGGGTTTCAAGACACCTGATGGGCAGGAAAACCTGTTTACCTGAAGTGACTATTCTAAAATTGCCAGGACTTTGCTGTCTCATATAGGAGAGCCAGAAAGCTCATCTAGTATCATTTAGATTGAATAAACATTCAGAAGCTTCCCTTGTGATGTTTGAGAATTAATTTGCAAAAGAGAGAGGTAAGCCAACTGTACAATGTCTGCAGCATTTCGGATTACTAAAGCTGGCAAGGGAGTGCATGCCTTGGGGAAGAAGCGACAGGGCTGACAGGAAGGGGAGTGCTGGGGCACGAGCAAGAGTTTGTTGGGAGAGGAACTATCGCCAGGGATGGGGAAGGACAGTAAAAGACTATTTCCATTTGCTTTTTCTTCAGCCGTAGTAGGATCCGAGAAAAGCCAAGTGGGTCCTCAGCCATGGGGGGACTGGAACTGACAACCACACCTTAACATCTGGTGTTTGTATCTAGGGAGACCTCCCAGAACATGATTTCAAATCCTTACATGTGAGTTCCTATGGGAAGATTACAAAAAAAAAAACCCTACTATTTTTGAAGCTATAGTAACCAAAACAGCCACTGATGTGATCAGCCAGCTGCCTAGCTTTCGCTTCCACAAATATCTTCTCATTCTGTAATTCCCGCATGGAGAAATGCCTTGAGGATTTTTTTCTTTTTAAATACACAGCAGCCTAAAGAGATCTTGCAAAAACATCTACTGAACTGGGAACTGCATGGCTCTGGCAAGCTTAAAACTTTCTGAAATTCCAGCTGACATGATTTACAGCTTATGTGACTAAAAATTACTCTAATAGGGTGATTAGTCCAGGAAAATATCTGCTTTATGTAAAGATATCAGATGAACACATTTATCAACACAATATGTCACTTCCAACAAAACTTTTACCTTCCTTTCTCCAACAGAAAGTATCATTCAAGGTAAGTTTGAATTAAAAAGTAAATTAAAAAGTAAATCCACTTCAGAAACCCTCCACTGGCAGGGACACATTATCGGTTATTCTCTTGCTCACCTCCCGCTCAACCCAGCACCACCAGTGCAACCACTCTGGAGGCCATGCTTATAGACTGGATGAGTGGAGCAATTGGCATAGAAAGTCTTTCTAAAGAGCTTTTTGTTTCCACATTGGCACAGCTGAGGAGGCTGGGAACAGCACTGGGAAAAAAAAGAAACAAGCAACCAACTTAATCAGTTTTTTTAACTGGAGAAATTGCAACACTGAGCTATACTAGGCGATACAATTAATCAGTCTTCAAACACTTCTCCATTCAATATTGCATCATGAAGCGACCAAACCTAAACAAGCAACACCTATTGCTGAAAACAATACATCCAACAACACCGACCACCTCACCACATAGCAGAAAAGCAGTGAAATTTCTGAGTGACTAAACTATTCCAAAAGCTCTTGCGGTCAGGGAGGAAAAAACCCTCAAGGCAGAGATCACATCAGTAGGTGAAAAGAAAAATAGTCAGTCACATGCGTTACACATTGTGAAGAAAGTAGTCCACTGGTTTATGTAGTAAGCAAGCATATCCTTTCTAGGTATCCTGATGTTTTCTATCCACATGTGCAGTGGAGAAAATACCCACAAGTATGGTCCAGAACTAATTCCTATGGTCCAGAGTAACTGCAATCCATAAAGCACAGAGAAACAACACTTTTCCTGCCCAAAACTATTACAACTAATTACACTTGACCACAAGTTCAATCATTTGGTATGTTTTAATTCAGGGGTGATTATCAAACCAACACATGGGAAAAATACTGATAAGGATTTTTTTTTTCTGCTTTTAAAAATAACTGAAGCTTTACATTAAAATAGACTCCTGTGTAAGTTGATTGCAGGTACTATATATAGAGTACTATACATAGAGTGCATTCTCCATTATAACAGGCATAAAGCAATCTAAGTTATTTTAATTTTTCCATCTAAACAGTAAGACATTTCAAAGGTTTGATATGTTAAAGTATCAATCAAGACAATCAAATAAAGCTGATGTTTCAGTGCAGATGCTAAAAAAATTACTTCATTAAGTAGAATTATGATGTTCCAACACTACGTTCATCTTTCATAATTAAAATCAATTAAAGACAAGATATCCTCAAGAATGTGGGGAGGCTTTATTTAACCTCATAAGATGTAGCACTGTAGTCAGAGCTTGAACTTTTACCCACCCTTTAGTGTCTAGCGTTTCTTGTTCCCTGGTTCCAAACAGCTCACTTATTCCTTTATTTACACTATTTGACTCCAAGTGTCCAAGCTTTCTCCACTGACAAGAACTCTGGTGAAATTTAAACTGTAAAAACATGATCCTTAAATGAGTCTCCCTACTGTCAAGTGACAGGTTCAGCTGTGTAAAATGCAACAGCCCTAGGAGGCACTGAGAAACACTACAGGGCTGGCAAATTTGCTAAAAGTAGAAATAGGTACTTGCCAAAACAGCCTCCCTTTATCACCCGCACACAGCTCCAAATAACTGTGGACAACCAGATTTTTAGGTAGTCTCAAGAAGATTTAGCATGTTTTTCCCATGACTTTTAAATCCTCCAATCCCAAAGTGAGGCAAGTCTATGGACACCAGCCCTCACTGCCTGTAATCCTGCTGCAGTCTGGTACTGTCGAGCACCAGGAACTTACTACAGCCTCCCAAGGCTGGTTTCTACCAGCCTTTGATGATACGAGCTTCTCAGAAGCGTGGAGCAGAATGCCGTGGCTAAAAGCACTGGTAACAGCTCTTTAGCTGCTATCAGCTGACAAGCCTGACCTGCTTATGAAGTGTGACAGATTATCCTGTGAAAACTTCATTTTCACCAGCACCCTGAACACAGCATTAAAATGATTTAAAAATCTAGAGGAAAAATTTATTTTTTTTTAAGCACCAGTTTGTCATGCTGGACATGATGGCAACTGTTTTGGATGTTCAGAACAGCTTTCAATCTCACTTATTCATTGCTTCTGCTTCATCTACATTTTCTTTTATGCCCCATTAACTTGTAAAATTACAATCAAGCTTCTCACTTCTGTTTATGTTTGGTTTCTGGCCAATTTCACCATCAGGTAGTCATGATGAAACACTGACATTACAAAGTTTCAGAAACAGATTTTGAAGAGGAAACATTTACGATCACACAAAACCACCTAGCAACATAAGCCTTACTTTGGTGAAGTAAAGCTTTTGGGCTTTGTATTTCGACTTGTGATCCCCCAGCTCTATTTTGTTGTAATTGGCACTTGTGTCTTAGAGCAGATATTAAGTGTTAAAATAAACAAATGGCAAATACAGAATAGTTACTGTCAAAGTTTAACAAACACTTTTTCCTTCCATTTTGAAATAAATGATTTTCAAGCACTTAATACATTCAAGCATTAAACAAGCAAAGCCGTAAGCCCTTTCAGGGCCTGAGGACTATTCATCTGTGGAGGGAGAAAAAAACAACTAAGTTTTGTTCAGGATAAAAATGTAAACTACAACCTAAGTAGAACAAAACTTTAGGTCTGAACCTGAAGAGCCAGGCTCCACATGGTCTCTAACACACAGCCAGAGCAATACTTTCAGTAGATACCTATGTTCCTAAGGGTCACATGCCACTGATTTGCAGGATCTATTGAAAAAAAAAAATACTGACAGGAAAGTTATATACAACATTTTTATTACACAGAAAAATCTCCAAGGTAAAAAACAGAATGCTGTTCCTACCTTAGGCAGATTTCTCCCGTCTCTGTAATGTTCGGATGCCAGATTCTTGTCAAGCATTTTACTTTTGGAGGCTGCCAGGAGAGAAAACAAGTTATGATGTTATTCTTTAAAATAAAACTGTATCACTATTACAAGTCACAGAACTGAAAAAGGCAAATATATTTGATATGCACAGCCTACGTTTGTATGTTGAAAACCCTCCTACAGGAGTTACACCAGCTTTCTCTACTCTTTTAGTTTCTCTCAACTATTGACAAAAGCTGGGTTGGTATTAAGCTTTTTCTTCAAAAAACATAAATTTAAAGAAAGCGAAGAAAATTTACTCTCTTCGCCTAGGGAAAGAAAACATTCCATGTCATTAACACTTAACCAGTAAGACAACAATTTAAACCAGAAAAATTACTAAGTGTTTTTCCCCAAGGCTTATCCAAGCCAGGGGTTTGTTAAAAACCATCAGAGGATGCAATGATAATAACATCAAAAGAACAGCTTCTTTTAAACGCAGACCTTCCTGCTCACAACTGAATAGGAAGTATCACAAGAGGCATCAAGAAGGCATGCCACATCTGAACTTAAGACACTAACATAAAAAGCCACCAAACTTATTTTCAGGCAAGATCACCAGATTTACGAATTCCACAGTGGGTTTTGAAATAGACATTCTTAAAATACAGTCTCATTTGTTCTAGTATTGTGAAGTAAATCAAGAGTGGGTCATAAAAATTCCAGTAGCTTAGCAACAGCACGTTGTTGCATCCATGCTCTCCAAATTACAATTTGCAGCTTTCAATCAAGCAGATGATTCCTTACACTAAGTGTACTGGAATACATCAGCACAGACCAGTACCTTTCATAACTTCAATTAAATGACATATTATAGATGTAGAGTTATTTTCCTCTGCTGCTTCCAATGAAGTCGTCAGCCAAGAGATGAAATAGTTCAAATAGCTGTATTTGCATAGCAGCATGACGTGTTTTGTGTCATCACTTTGCTCTCAACTTCCCAATTATCTTTTCAGTATAATTTTTTTTTAGCTAAGACTCCTTGGAGAAGAGATAGGAGAATATGCATGGTACTGAGCTACCAATAACATACCTGTCTGGCACTAGAAGACGAAACACCTATCACCACAAAAAAAGCTGCAATTTATAATGTAGACCTTGACTTTTCCCCACTCTCAAGTTTGTCCAGTAACTCAAGGGACGCTGACTGCCCCAGTCATCACGGCATTCTTGAAAATTAAGCGGCATACAGAAAACAGCCTCAAACTTTTTACCTTCAAAACAAATGTTCTTCTAAGAAGTTTTCTAACAGCACAGCTTTTCGTTAGCTGCACCTTCATGCTTTTCTGAAAGATTGTGCCTAGTTCCCAGGAAAGGGAAACTAGCAGTATTTATTCCAAGTAGATCAAAATAAGAGAGTAAATTTCTACCATATGCACCTTCAAACAGGGAATGTACCCATGAGTAAAAAAAAGTTTTATACAAACTAAATCTTTAAAAAAAAAAAAAAAATCCCCAAATCGTCAGTCAGACTGAATTAATTGGTACCTCATTTTTTGTATCATGGAAACAAAATAATTCCTTTATCCTTTCAAAGTGTTTTGCATTGCAAAAAACTAGAAAAATATACTCCTGACACTAAGACAAAGGTATTCTCTT